CTCACCTGCGCTGTGCCTTTTAACCTCTGTTGCCATTTGCCTCTGGATCCCTTAGATCCAGTTTTCTTTCCTAGGGCTTTGACCTGAAGCTTGGAATTGAGTCTGGGACAAAAATGTGTCTGGGAAGTTGGGGGGTTGGGGGGAGGTGTTTGTATGGATTCCTTATCATAAGCCAAATGCTAAGGTGAAACTGTGGAACTGAGTCCTCCAACAAGGGGGAGGAAAGGATGTCTTGTGACACATCCAGATAACTGGTGGCTATTGATATACTTGCTAGTATTTGACTGCATGGTGCTTAGCTTTGGTTAGTTCCCTTGGTCTTACTTTCCCAAAAAGGAAACCTTCGCCTGATGGGCATCACCTGGCAGTATTTGCAGGATAATTGCTCAGAACTAGAATATTGATCCGAATTTCTACATTACCCATCCCTTTTGTTCTTTCTGAGCTGCAGCCAGGGATTGCCAGTTGATTCACAGGAGCAAGCCTAAAATGTAGGCAAAGACTTAAAAACAACTAGTGAGTATAGAATTTAATGACAAATGTGTAAGTTTTGAAACATGATTTCTCTCTCTCCGGTCCTCATATTTATTAAAAAACAAATCGTCATAGGACTGAGTGGTTTGCAAAACAGACTTTAGCTTTATACTTGGCCTGATTATTTGCATAAAGTGCAGCAAGAATAGTTGTTTCTACATAGGCCTGTTGGATTGGCTTCGATGGAATTCTGTTCCACAAGGAATCTCAGATAAGACCTTTTAAAGCCAAGCCCAGCCATGGGTTTGTATCCTAAAATACCTATGAGTTGGGTGATCCTCTCCTTTTAAGGTCCCAAGATAAACTTGGAGCTCCTAGACTTGTTAGAAAATGACATTCTGTACAGGGACTGTGTAGACCATAGTATGAGGCTAGTTTCCCCACTGGGCTTTTATTGACTCTGCAAGTCTAGATTGACTCCTGAAAGGGAAGCATACCCTTCCAGTCAAAGCCTTGGTAAAATTACCAGTTTTTCCAAGTGTGTCCTATTGCAAAAGAAAAATAGATTCTTACTGCGCTGATGCAAACAACTATATTGCCATAAGGATACTCACAGATAGTTTCCAAATTCTAGAGAAACCAGGCAGAGAGAAACAAACATGCTCCAAATCTTGATCACAGGAGTGTATACCTTACTTAATTATTAAAGGCCATAAATAGCTCAAAATAAGTTTCCTTGGCTCTGAAAAACTAAACAAGGATCACCAATATTCCAAGCAAAAGTAAAAAGGTTTCTTCAGCTTTGAGTTTGGTCCATTTAGTTAACTCTGGTTTTGCTTGATATTCGTGAACATTTCAGCTCTTCATGAGTCTTAGACATTTTCCTTTATTCCAATGTCACAATCTCCAAAGTTATCAGAAATCTGATTGTCTTAAATACAATCAGAAATTGGATCTGAGAGCACCTGTCAGAGTCTTAATAGCCTATTATAAACCATCTTTTGAAAAGGATTAAAACAAAGACAACAATTGTCTGTGAATAGCAAAATGTCCAGGGTAGTTAAAATTAGAAATACAATTGACAAAGAAGTTTGGTTATCCCCGTGGTTTACAATAACTTGACACAAAAACCTTAATTATGATTGAGAGCATACACTCAGACATTAGAATTTTAGAAACCCCATACAATTTTGGAACATGTATTAGCATTATTCACCAAGATATAACCTAAAGAAGACTGAGCATCATTTTGGCAATCCCATGTACCTAAATATGCCAAATAATCCTGTTTACCTCTCTTTTCTGGACACTTCAGGGGCCCTCTTAAGTATTCGAAAAGCCAGGTGCCAGGGAAGACAATTTTGAAACTGAAGTTTGATTTTGGGAAGGCTGTTAAATGTTCGAGGTTTAAAACACTTGGTATTATGAAAGAGAGTTCCAGATTATCATAAGTGATTTTGCCAAAATGATGACTTAGAAATTTAAAGGAGCAAGAACCTTTTATAACTCCTTTAAATTTAGTTAGTATGTTCACACAGAGAACCTCTTCTGCAAGATTAATTTCCACAATTCTTCTGCCACTTCTTCAGCTTTTCCTATCTTACTCAAAACTGAAGTTCAAAGCTGAACCCCTTCTAGCCAGCCAGCTGTGCAGAACCCTTGGGCCATGAGTCCCAGTCCCTGCAGAAAGGGGAAGGGGAGAGAGGACTCCCTGCTAACCTGTCCTTCCCAAAAAAGGAAGGAAAGGGCCTTTCTCCCAACCCCTGCCCCCGGGAGCCACCAGGTTTGGGGGCACGTTTCCCCCACCCTCAGAAGTTGGAGGATGAAAATGCTTAGGAGCAACAGTGAGAAGTTTTGAGTCCCCATTTCACTCACCGCTTCTCAAGCCTCCTCGTTGCATGTCAAAAATGTTGCAGGACTTTTCCTTATTTCAGCTAAAGATGGGGTTCTTGTCCCTTCCACGGCCATGAAAATTTAGGCTGGCTGATGGCTTAAAGGGTGAGTAAAGCAGGGTTTCATTGAGTGAGAAAGGAAAAACGGGGGAAACTCCCTCTGCTGGAGCACTTCCAGCCTGGCAATTTGAAGAATCCAGGGTTCCACACAGGAAGAGGAGGGGCCAGGTTCCTCCCTGCTGCAAACACAGTGAACTTCCCAGGCTCCTACTCAGTGGGCAGGCTCGTTGGAGTTTCTCCAGGGACCCCCTCCCACCTGACTGTCTCACAAGGACAACATGTGGCAGGGAACCCTAACAAAGACCATGATGGAGAAGACACATTTAAGCTGAGGGGTGAAGGGTAAGAGTCAGCCCTGAAAATCTGTCAAAAGAAGTCCCAGACAGAGGAAACAGTCTGGGTAACTTTCTAGGTGAGAGTGAGCATGACACAGTTGAGAAACTGAACAGGGAAAGATTGATGGGCTAGAACTCCAAGTATATGTGAGCAGCAAGAGCTGAGCTGGTGAAGTAGTAGGCACCAGGTGGTGGAGAACCTCATAAATGATGTAATGGAATTAATACTGTATCCTTATAGGAATAGAGAGCAATAGAATGATTTCAAGATTGAGAGTGTCATGATGAAATCTGTGTTTTAGAAGTTACTCAACTTATGGTTTGGAGAACAAATTGAAACAGAAATTAAATTGAGGAGACCACTTAAAAGACTGAATAAGTCAAGTTTCAGAATTGCAAACAACCTTAGCTAATTTAAAAAGTTTGACTAGGGCCAGGTGAGATGGCTCATGCTTGTAATCCTAAGACTTGGGGAGGCCGAGGTGGGAGGATCCTTGGGCCCAGGAGTTCAAGACAAGTCTGGGTAACATGGTGAAACCCTTTCTCTACAAAAAATACAAAAAATTAGGCAGGCATGGTGGCCCACGCCTGTAGTCCCAGCTACCCGGGAGGCTGAGGTGGGAGGGTCACTTGAGCTGGGAGGTCGAAGTTGCAGTGAGCTGTGTTTGCACCACTGCCACTCCAACGTGAGCAACAGAGTGACATCTTGTCTCAAACAAAGTTTGGCTGGGAAGGTGAGATAATATAACAGTGGCTGAAGAGGACATTCGGTCAAAGGAGTTTTTTTGTTGGAGTTTTAGTTCGGTTTTAACACAGGAAAGAGCTAGTTCAGAATAAATGTCTGAAGATATATGAAATAATATAGCAAACGAAAATTGATGCAGGCTATTAATTTGAATCCTCAACAAGGTGATTTTTAAAAAATATTTGGCTAATATTTAATGGGAATGGGAAACTGACTTTTAATATAAAAGAAATGGCATACCTTATTTAAAATTCTGATTCAAATAAGAGATCTCTTTAAGCACTAAACATTATACAACATTTAATTTATTTGGAATTGTCTTATATTTCAGAGATATTTTTTACTCAAACCTGGATATTTACTCATTCCAAATCTCTATGGATAGAAGTAACTTAAGCATGTTAGCTACAGGTTTTATTCGAAATATTTTAAAGTCCTTTTTTCCTAGATTCATGTTGGCAAGAAGTTTTCCAGTTTTTCTGTAGTTCTTACTATTATAATTTTCAAAATCAGGTAATATTTTGGGCGCATTTATTAGATAAGTCACTCTCTCCTGGAAAACAGTATTATTCTTTATGTTACAATGTACTCTGCATTATAAGGATGGCAGCTTATGTAGGGGGTAGTTGTAAAGTCAAAGTTCTTAGTGATAATAATGTTTTCTCAAATTAATCCTTGGATATCCCTTACATTAAATATAAAGTGAAATGTCCATGGTTTGGTATATACACTGCTCTATCATAATATGCGTGTATACATGTGTAAACTAGACAGTAATGTCAAGGATATAATAGCCTATATATGCAAAATATAATTCTAGAGTATTTTTAATTATGGAGTAACAAGATAAAGAGAATGAAATCATTTTTTAAAAAGAAAAACAATAATGCTAAATAAACCCTATACATTCTGAATATCTTTGTGTGACTCTGAGGATAATAATGGTGATTCACCACAGTGACTGATGCTGACAGTAATGATTACTCCAGTGTCTGTATGATGAGGAATGAGATAATGAAGATGGGCCTTGTACACACTCCAGGGATTAGTTTTTCTCCTCCCTGACAGCACTATTTTGGGTCATATGAGCAGTGAGGGGACCCGCAGGCAGAATTGCTCATAATATTTAAATTGTTATTTTGCTCAGCTCTCACTTTTATTCTTACTCTCTCTTTAGTGGTTCATATATAATTGATTTTATATTATCAAATACACGTTTGATGTTTCTCCACTGTGTTAGGCTTGAGGATTTCATTTGCCTCCAAACAGTTGTCAGCTGGCCAACTTCATTGTTGGTGGCAACACTGTGATTCTACTTATATATCCTTGCATCCTGCAATGGGAAAGATCACAAAAACTCATTTGTGATGGACCAGAGTCAGAGGAATATGCTTCTTTGTTTCATTTTGTTTGGTTTACATTTCTATTCAGTAAGAAACAGGCCAAATTATGCTTTGCTTACATAAGAAAACCTAAATTAACTGTTAATGTTTTTCTCTAATAATTTATTTCAAGGATGCTATTCACTTCTTACAAATCGGCATGCCAGGCTGCTGCTCAGGTGATCTGCCTCTTGGACCAGCTCTGAAGATGGGAAAATGATCAGTGCAAGATCCCTGAGATGCTGAGACACGATGGGATGGAGGAAAGCTGTGGGACAAGTGGCCTTTCATAGGAGGAGGAGCTCCTTGTCAAATGTGAGGAGCGAAGCAGGACAGGAGCATGAGAACAGGTAGGTGTAGAGATGTGGAGAGTTCCCATTTGCTGAGATAGGTGAGAGAATCGGAAGTTTGACAGGAACGTTGACATGGAAATGGGAAGACAAACTGACCAGGGAAACAAAGATTGCCAGGCTGGTCCATTTGAGAGCCCAGCTGAAGGTGATGACCATGCTTTTATGAGGACAGCAATCTGACCAGCTGTCAGTCTTGCTGTAGCAGTCTTAGCAGCCTGGGTTAAGGTAGAGGAGCTCTTCATTTCAGGAAGGACAATATCAGAAGCCTGAGGAGAGAACCAAATTCCAAAAGACTAAGGAGTTAAGACATGAAGGCAAATGTCTTAGTTTATTCCTGCTGTTATAACAAACTACCTTAAATTGAGTAACTTATAAATAGTAGAAATTTTATTTCTCACTGTTCTGAAGCCTGGGAAGTCTAAGATCAAGGTGCCAGCAGATTCAGTGTCTGGTAAGGCCTTGCTCTGTGCTTCCAAGATGACACCTTCTTACTGCATCCTCACATGGCAAAAGGGTCAAAGGGCCAGTTCACCTTCTGAAGCCTTTTTTTTTTTTTTTTTTTTTTTTTTGAGAACTAGTCTCACTGTTGCCTGGGCTGGAGTGCTCGTTGCAACCTCTACCTCCTGGATTCAATCGATTCTCCTGCCTCAGCCTCATGAGTAGCTGGGATTACAGGCACCTGCCACCACGCCCAGCTAATTTTTTGTATTTTTAGTAGAGAAGGGATTTCACCATGTTGGTTAGGTTGATCTCGTCTCCTGACCTCATGATTCACCTGCCTCGGCCTCCCAAAGTGCTGGGATTATAGGCATGAGCCACTGCACCTGGCCCCGAAGCCTCTTTTATGAGGGCATTCATTCCATTCATGAGTGGCCCTCACGACTTAATCACTTCCTAAAAAGCCCACCTCTTAATACCACCACAACGGGGATTAAGTTTCAACATGAATTTTGAAGGGACACAGACATCCAAACCCTAGCGATAGGCTGATTAAAGAGTCATGTAGACAATTCTAAGGCAGTGGGGCATAGGTGTCAAGGCCCCTGGAGTGCTGACCATGTGGAAATGCAACAGTCATGAAGCTGCAGTCATTAATGTAACTGACAAAAGCTGTACAGCATAAAAAGGCTGTTTAATTTTATGCCGAGTCCATAATTTTTGCAGCATGTAACCCTAAGCTTGTTCCAAGTGTAAATATTAGTCATAAATTTTATGATCCAAATAGTGATTTCTACTTTTTGAGCACAGGGAAGGCTAAGCATAACAGGTTGACTTGAGGAGGAAGAGTCCCATTTCCTCCAGGGAACTGAAGGGCCTCTAATAGATGGTTCACTGCCCCTTTAGACAGACCTTAAGGGATTAAGTCAGCCCTCAAGTGAATGTCTAGGAAACAGCCATAGCTATGTGACTCACTTGGGAAAGCACTAGTTCCAGGCATGCTGGGACAGATGTCCTACCCCAGAGCGTACAGTCAGTATACTTTTAGTCAAGACTCAGGGAAATCACACAAAAAAAGGTCCTCCTCTTTTCTTGGTCACAGAACACAGAAGTGTATAAAAATCTTTACTTTAAATAAATGGCATGGGAGAAGAGGAAACTGGGCACTAGTCCTTGTTCTGATACCTTCTGTGGAACGTAGAGGAAATTCTTTCACCTAGAGGCTGAATGGTGCAAGGGTTTTGTTTTTGAACTGTGAAGCCCCATGCTGTGGGTCCAATCCCACCATCTCCATTGATTATAGTAACTACATGACCAGGGAGTGTTATGCAAGCTCATGTATCCTGATTTATTTATCTGTATGATAGAAAAAAAATATTGGTTGTGGGTAGTAAATGGGATAATATTTGCTAAGGTACAGTGCTTGGCACATAGTGAACACCTGGTAAAGTCTGATCCTTGTATGGGCCTGTTTTCTCTAAAATGAAGTTCTTGGACTACTATCCTTTTTTTTTTTTTTTTTTTAAATTTTTTTTTTAAGCTCTGAAGCTCTAGGATTCTGTGATGAAAATAATTTTTTATGATTGTTCCATAGTAGGAGTCAGCAAACTTTTTCTGTAAAGATCTACAGTCTCTGGCATTACTACTCAATTCTGATATTGTAGTGTGAAAGCAGCCACAGACAGTACTTGAAAGAATGGGCATGGCTGTATTGCATCAAAACATTATTTACAAAACTAGGCCGAGGCTGAGAGTTGACCCATGGGTGGTGATGTGCTGACCTTTGTTGTATGGAATTTTAAAAAGTGGAGAAAATAAGTGAGATGCAATTTGTAATGGAAAAAGGACACAGCAAGTCATGTACTGTAAAATTGTATAAGCTTGTAACGTATTTGTTTAGCCCCAAAACTTTTTTTATATTGAGCATGTGAAAGAAAGCAGATGCTCTACAACGAAAGTGGATAATAGAAATACAATAAACAGCATTCATAAGCTTACATGTTTATAAACATGGGCATAAATATATAAAATAAGTGAAATGGAAAAGAGTAGCCCATAAATTCATATTTGCTACCAGTTGAAAGAAGACAGGAAGGTGGAAATCATGCAAAAAGCATGAGAAACTGAAGTTGTAGCAAAGAGCTAATGTTCCTTCTGACTCCATAATTAAAGAGACATGCATTACACCAGCTCAGAGACTTGCAGAGCGATTGCTCAAACTTCAAATCACATTTGATCTGATATAGTCATCTGAATATTACAATGACTGAGCTGTGGGCTACTCTCCTTATTAAGTTAGCCCAGTGACTAATCACCCAGTAATCAGGTCTTCATAGCATCTGGTACCTTGACAAACAATATCTAACTTTACAGTAGCTATACTTTCCACAAGCACAACCTGAAATTATGTTGGGAAAAGACAAAGAAGAAAAGTACAATAAGTGAAAAAGAGGCACGAAACAAGAAAGGTACAAATGAAGAAATACTAGTGTAGCCATGTAAAATTAGAATCCAAATGCCTCACTGGGGCACCACCCTGGGAGACCTGGGAAATCACACACATGCTATAGCAAAGACTCTCACCATCCTCAGGTCCGTTGCAGCCCCCGCCACCCCCAGCTGCTCCACAGATGTCTTTGTGCCACACTACATTTCTCCCTGCTGCCAGGGATCCCCTGGGGTGCTTCTCCTAAGTAGAGTTTACTCATTCTAGAAAGAGCAAACAGGAAAATATTTGAGCAAATAATTACTCTTTGTCTTTTTCCTTCCTCTTATTTCAAACATCCTAATACCTGACGGAAAACTCGATATCAATGACCTTTTTTATCTTTTGCCAAGGTGTAAACCCTTTAAAGAAATTGTGTCAGGTACCCCAGAGTGGAAAGGGAGAAAAGATAATGACTTTCAAGTCCAGCAGAAAAAGAAGGCAGAGATTTCCAGAGACCGTGTAAGGAGATGAACGTGAGAGCGTTTCTCTAATATTAGGGATCCACATACTGCTCCGTGGCCAACCCTGACAAAGGGAAGAGACCCTAAGGATGGTTGCAGAGGGCACCTAAGGCTGGTCCTAGAATCCAGTGCCCCTAGGTTGGCTGCTGGGGCTGATGGCCCCGACTGGACGATAGCAAGAGGCATCTCAGTAGGACCATAACGCATGACCAGAGGAACCAACCTGATGTTCTGACAATACATAAGTTTTTTGCACAGTTCTTGGAGGTGTGGAGTCCCAGTGAGGACTGAAATTATATTTTCCACCAGTCTTGATGGAGGAGGAGCCAGGGCAGATTTCAATTGATTTAAATCTATGAAGAAACATAGTGATTCTTGAAAAATAGCATCTGTTGGCTGATATTCATATATCAACAAATATTTGGGAATAAGGGCTGGGAAGGAAGAGGAACTTTCCTATTCTAATTGGCACAGTCTCTGAATCTGAACCAGCAGGCTCCCTGGAGATGAGATCAGGTGTGTGGTGGCAGCATGACCACAGTGGCTTAGAAAGAGCAGAGGGCTGCCCTGTAAATCCTTCAGGGGGTAAATGAGGGCCCAGGAAAAAACATGGAGAGTGGGTAGAGTAACATAATTGAAAACAGCTTGGAAAAGTGGGCCTAATTTTTTTGAACTAAAAATGAGTAAAGTGCCTTTTCAAGAACTGGATATAAAAATGAAACCAAGAGATAAAGAAAACTCACTATATTTAGTTGTTCACACACACACACACACAGAGAGAGAGAGAGAGAGAGGGAGACTGTGCACGCTGATACAGTAGCCATGCAATACATTAAGAAAATCTTGTCCTCCTGTACTTTTAATAAGTTGTCTGGTTGTGTGATGACCCAGTGCTTGGAGATGGGGGGAGCAAGAGGCTTCCCGACCCGCTAATAGAACTTAAGAGCCTGTGGACCCATTTTACTGAAAAGCAAAACTGCTGGGGGTTGGGGTAGGCAGTGTGGCCTCTTCTGTCTGCAAAGGCTGTGACTTTTTTTTTTTTTTTTTTTTTTTTTTGATTCTGGGTCTCGCGCTCTGTCTCCCAGGCTGGAGTGCAGTGGCCGCATCTCGGCTCACTGCAAGCTCCGCCTCCCGGGTTCATGCGATTCTCCTGCCTCAGCCGCCCGAGTAGCTGGAACTACAGGCGCATGTCACCACGCCCGGCTAATTTTTTTGTATTTTTAGTAGAGACAAGGTTTCACTGTGTTAGCCAGGATGGTCTCGATCTCCTGATCTTGTGACCCGCCGGTCTCGGCCTCCCAAAGTGCTGGGATTACAGGCATGAGCCCCCGCGCCCGGCCACGCTGTTACTTATTGAGCAAAGCACTCAGAGCAGAGAAGGGAGAAGGACACTGTCCCAGCTGGCCAGGTTAGCTGAGTCAGCCTTGGCAATCTGGACAGCTAGTGTGGTAGGCCATTTTCACACCCACTTTCTGACCTGACTCTCTCATTTCCAGTGAGATCAGCGGGATCCAGGTAGCAAGTCACTTGCTTAATCCATAGATTTGGTGTAATATTAATTGTTGTTATAAATTATACCAGTCCCCTTATGTAATGTGTCTTATTTAACT